GCTAATTTTGAATTGAATCAAAGAAGTATGCATATCTGGTTTTTTTTTACTTTTCCTAAATTTTGATTGATTTTTGTAGAATGTAAAATATCTGGATGTGTGCAGTTTTAACTTCTAGCATGTCCCAAGCCATGGTAAAAGCAGAGGGGGAGAAATGAATCTTGAATTTGTATTATCAATGTTATTTTACATATCACTAAACATTTTTACATTTTTGATTGCATTGTTCACCATTTTCTTGATGTCTGAAGTGATAAAGAATAATAGGTTGGTGCCTTGGATCTGGCGAGGCGGAGGAATTTATTGGGTGAGCCTTTGGTCAGATAGTTCTCCATCCATAGGACCAATCATTCTATTTATCCTGTTATCGATTTTATCTGTTATCGACTAGTTCTTATCATTCTGATATATTTAACAAGCAAAATTGTCAAACCAGTCTTTAGTGATTTTAAGTCATTTTTACTTGTTTTGCCGCATTACGTCATGCGTTCTTTTTCAAGACGTCATCATATGACGTCACAGTACCAATGTTGAAATTTAGTTCCGTAAAATTTTTCGAATTTGTTACATTTTCACACAATGTATGCAGTCATTTACTTGCTTCTCCTATAGAAGCAAAATTTACGTCATGACAGAATTTATTCCTGTTGATAATTCAATTTAGTGTTGTTTTTTTATTCATCAGAACAGCTCATGCCTTAGATTGGTAAAATTAGAACCATAAGGAATTGAAAATTGACAATATTTTACAAAATCTTTTAGAAATGTGTAATCATATGAAAAAGAAACATTTTAAGTGTGTGTGTTTTTTGTTGTTGTTTTTTTAAATTCTTATGTACTAAATAGTTGAAATGATTCTGAAAAATCATTTACATAAGTTTTAATAAGAATTTTCAGGATAAAATTATGAATTTTGGCCATTTTTTTTTCATTTATAATAGACATAAATTTGGCTATTTGAAAACTATATATAAATGCAAAAAAGTATGAAGAATGTTAATTTTTTAATAACAAGCCATGGTTAGTAAGTTTTAAGCTCTTGTAGTTTAATTGTCAAAATGCCTCTTTATTGTATCACATACATAAGAGGAGTTCTGAGTTCAAATCTCAGCAAGAGTTCTTATTTGTTGATTCATGGTTTGTAAAATTAAAATAGGGTTATAGGGCTATGAATTTTTATGTCTATATTAAAGTTTTTGTTTTTATAAGTCATTGTTTTTATTTGACAGTTATTAAAATCAAGTTTTTTTTAAACCTGATTAGAACTCTGACAGTATGATTAAAAAAACTATTCTTATTTAATGCAAATTTCCGAGAATCTATCATAGTATAAAGCGACTTGACGAGTAAAATATCACTTGCCACAATGTCCAAGCGTAAATTGTGTTTGACAAATGGTAAAATGTACTAAATTTTCTGTGCGTTTTCTAATTTTGACATCTGCTTACTCAACTACCGGCATAAAATATGATAATATCTGCTAATCGTGAAATTCGCTCATATCTAACACCCGATCGCAGATCGGCAAACCTGTGAGGAATACTAAATGATCAAGGAGTACTTATACGAATGCTAAATGCAAGATTTCAAAATGGCCCAAAACATTTCCCATTTCGAATAAGACCAAGCTTGTCTGTCGATTTTCGTGTTGACCGTGCATTTCATACTGTGCATGGTTTTCACGTATTTGCCGTTTCTGTTAAAATGAAATTTTTGTCTTGATATTCAATCAATATTTCAAGTTTGAAATGAATATTTGTCATGGTTTTGGGGGAAAATATAAAAAGGGAGAAATGTCTTTCAAGATCATCTTTCCTTTAGAAATGCATTTTACTTTTATATAAAATAAGTATTTTATGTTTTAGGTGAATATGTTTGAATTTTTGAGCAATAAGCCGACACGTTTAGCTTTTCATAAATGAAAAAATTCATTTTTCGGGAGTAAATAGTTAGCCGTCATTTGGTCACGGAGTCCCCTCATACCTTTTGACATAAATGCAAATATTGTGTAAAACAATAGCTGAAAGTTATAACATATGATATACAATCATATTAAACACCAAACACATATCAGTTTCCGCCGCCTTAAGTATGCAAGTCGTAAGTGATTGCATTTGGAAACCCGTTGATCATTTCAAAACAAGGCAATGTCAAAACCCAAGTTAACCATTTTTTTACGTCCCCGCGAGGGGTTTGACATTATCGGAAGATAGGTAACAACCGCATGTACATTAATTATTACAGCAACCTGATTAATTAAATCAGCTCCTAACTAACGATACGCTACAAGTAAACATAAGATTTGAACTTTTATCATGTTGAAATTAACTGTACATTGTAGTCTATTAAATTTAAATGCATTGGCTGCGGTTGTATTAACAAACATATTAGCGAAACAAAGTAACCACAATTAAATGATATCATATTCGACATTCAAGTATAATCTTTCATAAGCATCATCTTAATTGTTATGTCACTGGTTTACTGTATGAAAATTGTTTGGTCTTTGGGCCCCGGATCAGTGGGTTTGAGTGCTTTATTTTCCTTAAATACTTAAGTTGTTCAGATGTGTGTTGAGGAACATCAGTCATTGATAAAATAGAGAAAAAAAGAACCCCTAAAGAAAGTCCAAAACGGCAAAATTGAAAATGTTGCAGGTTCCGTTTGATAAAGCCCAAATTAACACTGTCCCGGTAATGGCCACGGTATCGCTACTGTGTCTTCAGCTGGTGAACCGAGGTGTTCCGTGGTGTTTTTCTGAGAAATCAAATTGCGTTTACACATCCCCGACAGAGCCCATGTGTATTCCCGGTTCAGAACCCGATATAGCACCGGATATATACGATAAGCGCCGATGCTAAATCGGTGTATTCCGCTTGATTCCGGTGGAAACCCGACTAGACACGGTTTCATCACGGTCCATTCCGACCATCGCCGTTTTTGCCACGGTAATGCTCTTGGTGATGCCGGTACTGTGCCGGTGACGCCCTGGTAATGCACCGATGCTTCATGTTCAAGTTTATGAGAATAAAACTGACTGACCACGTTGACATCAGTCATTTGGTAAAAATACAGCAGAGATGCCATCCGAAGGAAAGGGGATGGAAGTTAGAAAAAAACTGTGTCTACAACACCTTCAGAGGTTGAGGTACCTGAAGCTGAAAATGCACCAGCTGAAGAATTTTTCCTTCTCTCATTTAACAAATTGTCCATGCTCGTGTTCCTTCTCTAAACAAAATGATCCAAAGTAGCACTTCAAGTTTATATATTCCTGTTCTTTAAATTTCCTGTATCGGCATGAGGTCGTTACACCACTGTCTATCATCGTTGTATAACCGTACTTGTCTGCAATATCCGGGACATTACCGGCTCCAACAGGAGCGTTGTTGCCAGTGACCTCAATGTACCCTGGCTATACCGTAGCTCTGCCTGTTTTACCGTGGCAACATCGTGTCATCACCGGGTCTTTGCCGTTTGGACATTGATTGACACGCATCCCGGTTTACTACGATTTGTCACGGTATGGATGCAGTATAGATACGGTGGTTTCCCGGCAATTCCCTGTTCCAAACCGATAGAACACGGATTTGGAATTGGGCTTCCTCTCGGTGAGTGCCGGTGAGCGCCGGTTGTATTAAACATTTGAAGACAACAGTGGTGATCTCTCAGTTTGTTCCGGTTCACCATGGTTTGTCCCTTTACTTCACGGAATTTCAACGACCCAACGCCGGTTTACCACGGTTGATCATGGTTGACTAAACCGTGGCAAACCGAGACACCAAACCGGGACTGTGTAAATGGGGCTTAAACCGCCCTAGTATGACTGTATAACTATTAGTACTAGCAAGAAAAAAAGGTCTTCAAATCAATGAAATTACTTAAACCGAATTCTGATCGCGACAATATCATAATACATTTAAGATGTTGTTAATCAGGGTTATAAATGAAAAATTGAGACTTGAATTTCAATTGTATCTTTATAGCATACGCTTTCTAGCGTCAATATTACATTATATAGCAGCTCAAATCCTCGATATTTAGGTTCATAAAAGAAAACAATTAAAACAAAGATACTTTTTGTTAAATGGCAATTACAGTAAAAATAACTATGAGAGCGGTTTAAATTTAAAATACTACTACTTTTAATCATGATTTTAACATGAATTTATATTTTGCGATATTTAACGGTAGTGTTGCGACATTTAACGGTAGCGGAAATTCGTGTGACATTTAACGTTAACATTTCGACATTTAGCGGCAGTTGCGACATTTAGCAGCAGTTGCGACATTTAGCGGTATTGGTGCGACATTTAGCGTTAAATGCGACATTTAGCGGCGTTGCGACATATTACGGCGCCACACAGTGCTTACTGTATAATATGAAAAATATAGAAAAAGATATTATTCGTTCACGAAATCCAGATATAGGGAGGATACTCTATAAGAAAGGTAATGACAAATAATTTGATTCCTGAACAATAACATTATTAAAAACTTCATGAAATAGTTTGAGGCTTATGTTTTAAATGCAAATTGTCTCAGAAACGAATAAATTTTACTTCTTTAAAAAGTAAAAACATAAACTTAATAACATTTAAATAATGGTTTATGACCAATAACTGTTTACGACCATGTTACATGCTTATTACCAGAAGAAAATATCACTAAACGTGAAAAAATGTGTCATAAAAGTTGCAAAATTTAAACGAAGAAGTATTTTGACTTCCATACAAAATAATAAATCACTATAAATGTACCAATTGCCAAAAAGAAACAGAAGATAAAATGACTCAGTAATTGGCCAACGAATAGCTCTTTAAAAACAAAAGTTCATCTAAAATTTAAGAAATAAATATAGAAGCATTCCTGGCCTAGCGATTAGTTCTGCATAATAATCTCTTAATTTTTTTAATTCAGATGTTGAGAAATCCCCAAGAAAAAATATATATGAATTGTTGAAATCAAAACGGACAATTATCAAAAGAAAACATAAATATACATTTGTGTATTTCAAATTTATTTTGTTGCTTAAGAATTTACTGACGAAAAAACAGCAGTAACATTTCACGGACATGGGGCATAGTCAAGCACCCTCAGGTCTCTGTGAGTACACCTGGCTTTATCATATTCACAACTGAAAAATAGAAATATTTTATCTATTCATTGATTAGCCTCAATAACATTAGGGATGTATTATCTAGTTAAATAGCGATCTCCTGTATTTTTTTTTACAACCTGTGGTCTAAGGGAAGCAACTACACATTAATTGAAAAATTCGTTTTATAGAAGTTGTTTCCCTTGGACCACTGCAGTATTATATAGAAATAATCGGCAATGAAAATCAAAATTATGCAAACTGATAGTTTTATTTTTGCTTGTCGGCTTTGTTTATAAGTCTAGTGTTTTTCTAAATCAAATAACTCTATGTGTGCTACATACAGTGCCTCACTAAAACTTAGACCTATTGGGGAAAATTAACATTGAAACCACACAACAGTAACATGAATTCAAATGAACTTGGTTTTCAGATTGAATAAAATGCTTGCTCAAGATGAGACAGAACAGAAAAGAACAGAATAATAAAACAACGAACGAGCGAAATATCGATTGACCAATAAAAGTTTTTATAACTAAATAAATGTTTTATTATCCTATACAGCGAGGACAAAATTTTGGCTTACTAGTTTTTATAAGTCCAGTTGTCAGACGCACAAACTGGTTGATCTTCGGTTCCACAATCTTGTTTGCTGATAACCGTGCAAAAGAAATCGAGTACGGCATCATGGCCGCTTACTGTTGTTGCAGCTGGGGTTGTACTTGATTCGGATGGCAGGCATGCTCCGTCATGTAGAATATGAAGTTCCAGGTGAACACACTGTTGCTGAGCAAAAAAGCACCTGGAAAAAATAGCCGCAAATTGGATGTTTCAGTGTATTCAGTAATTTTGAATGGAAACGAAGCGTTTCGATTGGATTAATGAAGTATTTCACGACTATTTGTCTCCCTTATAACCATTATTGTGATATTATTTAATTTACTAGTCTACTGGTAATTATCATTTTAGGAGTAGTACGGCGAGTATTTGGTCATCTGTGTAGAACAATAGAACGTTGTCGCAAACATTTGTTGAAAATCCAACATATAGTTCAAGCCCACAGAGTGAACGATTTGGCCAGTTCTATAACAGTAAGGGTATTGCAGGATTTGTCTTATAGATCGTAGATAATAAAATTAGGCAAGGCAGATTTACGGTTCTTGTGCACTGCAAGTCTACGCAATGACATCTATCTACCTGCAAAGTTTCTTTTTTGATACCTCTTGTATTTTCAGAGTCATGTCCCGGAAAATGTTTAAAATGTAAAACAACAACACCCCCCCCACCCCCCCCCCCCCCCCCCCCAAAAAAAATAAAATACACATCCCCCAAAACAGAGAAAACCCCATTCTTATGATGAAATAACTCAAACCTGTTCACATAAGTAAAGCCGTCTGTACCACATTCCGGTTGGGGATCGTATGCTGAACAATTCAAACTGTTAACCCAGGGACAGTTTAAAAACTGACCGCTTACTGCAAAATACGGAATGTAAGAATTTCAAACATTTTGATATACTCAGTTGTTTTCAAATATTGAAAATAGTTTGACATTTAAATGAGTAAACATTTATCACGCTTCCGTTAATATACGGCATAATACGTCATTTCCCGTGTATCAAATATTGTTTATCAGAGGAAACATGTTTGGTTGGTTGGTTGGTTGGTTTTTACGTCGCTCAAACACATGGCGACTTTCCAATTTTTCCTCAAGAGTCCTTCCGCACGTAGGGCTTCATAGTAAAACCACCGACGTTCCGTTAGCTAGCTGGATAGCTTCCTCACAGGATGAAAGAATCCAAAAATGCCTGACGGGCATCCGCGCAGTCTGATCAGGATCCATGCTGTTCGCTGTCAGTTTCTTCACTTGTAATAGGATCTGTAAGCGAACAGCATGGATCCTGACCAGACTGCGCGGATGCGCAGGCTGGTCTGGATCCATGCTGGTCGCAAACCCATTATGTTGGTTTTGTCGTGACGCGGCTCATATAAGTATCATGTGCTCTTTTAGAAATTTTTCATTACATAAAAAGCATCCCTATACAGTTTTGAGACAGTACAGCTGTAATTTTCATGCTGCAAGAGTAATAAATATGGCCTCCGGTGTTGCATTTAAATCAATTAAACATAAAGAACAAAGCGAGGTGGAAGAAGTCTTACCTGAAGAGGCCGCCAAAATAAAAACAAGTAGGCCTATCATCGTTATGTTAGTGATCCCTGCAAGTTTTGATTTCGATTAGCAATGTATAACTACAAGGAGCATAAACGTGACCCTGCTAGTCCTAGTGTTACACAACTGTTATTTCGACAGATAAGAATCGTGTTGGTCCAATTCAAAATAATTTTGGAATATATATGTCAGACAAACTTTATCTCCCTTTTATCTCACATTTTGTCGTTCATATACAATGTATGCAATGTACATGTACTCAACGTAGTGATTTTTAAATATGTTATGTGTTGCAGCCGTAAAAACCACTCCATATCTTTTAATTCCTTTTTGTTGTTATATTTTATGGGCCAGTAGGATAATAAATTTCAATTATTTTAGTTTTAATATACATTTGAATTACGAAGGTCCTACAAGGCGCCCAGTTGTACATATGCTAATAGACTTAGACAGGTCAACTTTTCCCATTTTCAATGTTTTTCGGGGGTTATCCAATTCGTTAATCAACTCACAACAGCATGTCATTATTTATATGTGGCGCCCGTAAAGTATCGCCCGATATTGATTAATCCCCCCCCCAATAGGTCAAGCAGTCAAATCTAAACACAACTGTATGCTTGAGAAAGTAAAAACAAAGACGGAATCTCAACAACAAAAATTTATATATTTAGATTGAGCCGCATGTTGCTACAAAATATAAACATTGTTGATAAAAGATGAAGATCTCAGGAACAAGGTCCAAAGTCTTTCACTTTGAGATTCCGGTGAGTGCATCTTGCTTTGTCGTACTCACAGCTGGAAAATATTAACGAATTTAACAAAGGTTTAATCATAATATTTTTTTTAGGTAAAAAAGCATAAAAACATGAAATTTGAAATTCGTAAATAGATCAAGAGAAACAATTAAAATGTTATCTGTAAAGGCGTGTAAAGAAATATGCTCGGAACTAAATTAAAAATCGATTTTTTTTGGTGTAATTTAAAGGCCGATTTGAACGAAAAGCGTTGCAACGCTATTCATTTGTGGGTCATTTGCACATTAAAAATGTTGATTCAGGAAAAACGGGGCGAGCGAATGATCTAAAAATTTGCTTTAGTTTATACCTGTTTATTTTAGTTCGATTGTGTCGGAAACTATTAGATTATTGAAACACACTCGAATCAGTTCCTGGAACCAACCAGTTCTAAGCAATGAATGTAAAGTTCCTTGCTCAAGCAATCCTTTGATTGAATGCTTTACTTACTAATTTACGTAAGTTCTGCCGTCGGTTGCACATACTTCTTGTATCTCGGGTCCACATTGTTGGTGACTAAGTGTAGTACAGAAGAAATCAAGCGCAGCGTCATTTCCATTGACATAGTTTGGTGATGGGGTCGTGCTTGATTCGGATTGCAGGCAGGCACCCTCATGTAGAATATGTAGATTATTATCTAAACATATTTGTTGTGCCAAGTAGCACCTAAAATACGTTTTAGGGTTATTCAATATTACATAAATATTATTGAAATAGTATTGCATAAATGAACGCATCTTTTAATGAATATTCATATTATTCTAGATGTATCGTTCTAAATACACAGTCTTGTTTTCAAGTACTTGAAATCAAATTCTATTACTAATTATAAACATAAAGTCTTGTTAACGCAGTCTATGAATTTGCCTTTTGGTTAACATTGTAGTTTTTCTTAAAAATATTACATTTCATACTGACTTTTTCGATCGCAACTTTTCAGCCCTTTCCGTCAGTCTTCGGATATGAATATTAGGCGAGGATGTTCCGATTGTGACGAAGAATTCGAAACACCGAAGCATTTTACCATTAATCAACCATATCCGAAAGTTTGACTGAAATGACCGAAAAACTGCGATTATACTTGGAATGTTATCTTTCACCCTAGCCAGATATTTCGGCTTGTACTTGCATGTATGTATGTATTCTAGACTTAATGAGGGCCGACATGTCAACCACCCCTGTCCTTAAAGGTTAAAGTCTGCCAAAAGGTGACCTATACACATTCAGAGTTCAGTAATTGACTGAATGATACTAAATGTATGTATGTAAGTCGTTTTTTATTATGTTTACTATTTTGATGTGCTGTAGGCCAACGAGACGTTTGAAGCTTTGACTGGCAGTTATTATAGGATACTTATTCGTATATAAGTCTTACCTATTGGGGTAGGTGACACCGTCTGAACCACAGTCGACTGAAGGGGTGTAAGTTGTACAGTCCAAACTATTGACCCAGGGACAGTTTAAAAACTGAGAATTCACCACTGAAAAATATTTGCGATATATAAACAATGAAATATAGCTCAACATGTGCATGCACAAAAGACCACAGACTTTCCACTTGTCATTAATATCACAGAGTTTTACAACATATTTGAGGAACATCACATTGCATATTAGCATTTCTAAAATTTGTTGGATGTCGCCGCGATAACCACGTATATTATACATGTAAATATAAACATGAATAGTATTGAATACAAGTAATGAAGGAGACAATAATTTGGTGATAATGATGATGCTGATGATGATTATTTCATACACGAGTGGCTTCTGCAGAAGTTCGATAAGACTATTTTTGTTCTGTCCAGCCAACCAAACATTAAAAGCAGCCATTTTGGATAGGAATTAAACGGACCTCAAGTCCAGTCGTATCATATTCTCTTTTCACATATGGAGTGACCGGCTTCACATATGGAGTGACCAGCTTCACATATGGAGTGACCGGCTTCACATATGGAGTGACCAGCTTCACGTATGGAGTGACCGGCTTCACATATGGAGTGACCAGCTTCACATATGGAGTGACCAGCTTCACATATGGAGTGAACAGCTTCACATATGGAGTGACCAGCTTCACATATGGAGTGACCAGCTTCACATATGGAGTTACCAGCTTCACATATGGAGCGACCAGCTTCACATATGGAGTGACCGGCTTCACATATGAAGTGACCGGCTTCACATATGGAGTGACCGGCTTCACATATGAAGTGATCAGCTTCAAACATGGAGTGACCAGCTTCACATATGGAGTGACCAGCTTCACATATAGAGTGACCAGCTTCACATATGGAGTGACCGGCTTCACATATGAAGTGACCGGCTTCACATATGGAGTGACCGGCTTCACATATGAAGTGATCAGCTTCAAACATGGAGTGACCAGCTTCACATATGGAGTGACCAGCTATTAGCATCAGATACGACCGATTAATTACAAAAAATATAGGACATAATTAGAATGGTTCGACAATTGAAACCATGTTTTGCTTCCAGATTAATAATCCCATACAGTTGAAATAATGATATATAGAAATAACAGGAAATATTCTTGTTAACGAAATTAGCAAAACATTATTATTTCAAGCATAAACTTATATTAAAGTACATTCTCTAATCTATTTATAATTTTATATACATTTCATTTAATATTATCTTATTTGTTTAAATTTGCTATATGTATATGTATATTCTATACATGTATGTATTTTTATGTTTATGCAGATCTATGATGTTGCAAAAAATAAAATAAAAAATATCACTGCAAACATAAACAAGTAGAAACATAAATATTTACATATAATAAACAAAAACAGTGTTATTACAAACATAAATAGTGTATATAATAAACATCAAAGTTTGACATTATCTAGCTCTATTTCTTCATAGTGAAGATGAGCTGAATTGACTATTTATTTCAAAAGATTGACTGTTGTAATGTTTAAATACCCAACAGTATATATTTTAAAATGTTTAGGACAGAATATAACTTCGGCTAAAATATGAATAGACTAATATATCGTTAAAGGTATATTTCCGATACAAATATTTACAAAAAATTGCTTTGGCCACGTGAGTTAATATATCATTATACATCGTTCTTGCGAAGTAAATTATGAAATTGAAAGGCAAAAAATGTAAAACTTATTTTGACTTTCACCCTTTTTCACCTCACTATGTAATCTTGGATGGGCATGTCACTTTAACTATTATGTCATTGCATAGTATAACATAGTGTAATGACAAGAATGTGTATAAACTGATTGTAAATTACATGTAACGAGAAGTGTAATCACATGTACAGAAGTGTTAATAACATTACATAGAAGTGTAATCACATGCAAAGAAGTGAAATAACATGCATAGAAGTGTAATAACATGCCTATAAGTGTAATCACGTGCATAGAAAGGTAATCACATGCACAGAAGTCTAATCACATATACAGAAATGTAATCACATGTACAGAAGTGTAATAACATGCATAGGAGTGTAATAACATGAATAGAAGTGTATCACATATTGAAGTATAATAACATGCATAGAAGTGTAATAACATGCATATAAGTGTAATCACATGTATAGAAAGGAAATCACATGCACAGAAGTCTAATCACATGTACAGAAGTGTTACAACATGCATAGAAGTGTAATCACATGCAAAGAATCGAAATAGCATGCATAGAAGTGTAATAACATGAATAGAAGTGTAATCACATGCATAGAAGTGTAATAACATGCATATTAGTGAAATAGCATGTTCAGAAGTGTAATAACATGCATATAAGTGTAATAACATGTAAAGAGGTGTAACTACATGCATAGAATCACATGTACAGACGTGTTATCACATGTCGAAAGTATAATCACATGTACAGAAGTGTCAATACATGCATAGAAGTGTAATTACATGCATATAAGTGTAATCACATGCACAGACGTGTAATCAAATGTACAGAAGTGTAATCACATGCAAAAAAGAAGTGTAATAACATGCATAGAAGTGTAATAACATCCATAGAAGTGTAATCACATGCATAGAAGTGTAATCAGATGCACAGAAGTGTAAACACATGTACAGAAGTGTTTTCACATGTACAGAAGTGTAATAACATGCATAGAAGTGTAATAACATGCATAGAAGTGTAATAACATGCACAGTAGTGTAATCACATTTACAAAAGTGTAATCACATGTACAGAAGTGTAATAACATGTATAGAAGTGTAATTACATGCACAGTATTGTAATCACATGTACAGAAGTGTAATCGCATGTACAGAAGTGTAATAACATGGACAGAAGTGTAATAACATGGACAAAAGTGTAATTACATGCAAAGAAGTGTAATAACATGCAA